TCTGCATGCCCCGCCCCCTCATCTGCACGCCCCGCCCGCCCCGCCCCGCTCCCCTCTCGGTTCCCGGTTCCCGGTTCCCGGTTTCCCCGTGGCGGTACCTTCGGGCCGGTACTGCGCGATGATGGTCACCGTCTGCCCCGCTCGCTTCAGCGCCGCCGCCGCCTGCTCGTGGGTGGCGTTGCGGAGGTTCACGCCGTTCACCTGCGGGGAACAGAGCGGCTCCGCTGGACGGGACCGGACCGGCGGGGTGTGCCCTGTGTCTCGATGCCCCGCTCCTGTACCGATAGCCGTGGTACCCACACTCTCAGTGCCTCATTACCCTGCCACCGTGCCCCACTGCTGGCACTTCCAGTACCGGTATCTCTAGTACCGACATCCCCGGTACCTGCCCCCGGCCCTCCCGGCCATCGGGGCTGCCCCCCACCGCAGCCATGTCCACACCCGCACTGGGGGTGCATCCCACCGAGCTGTGTCTGGCTGGGGTGGCAGGGGACAGGTGTCTTCCCGGGGCTGGGGGAGGCCATGGAGGGGCAGTGGGTGCCCCACCTACTCACCGAGAGGATGCGGTCTCCCCTCCGCAGCTCCCCGCTGAGGTCAGCAGGGCCTCCAGCCAGGATGAAGGACACAAAGATCCCCTCACCGTCTTCCCCTCCAACAATGTTGAAGCCCAGGCCAGTGGAGCCTTTGTGCAGGATGATTTTCCGGGGCTCCCTGAAAGGACAGATAAGGGACAGGGAGACATCAGGGTGAGGAGCAGCAAAGCTGGTGACAGGCTTGTCTGTGTCCGGGCTTCCCAGCACATGAGTGGGGCTGGAGTCTTCTTCAGCCCCTCGGGCCAGGCTGAAGCATCACTGCCATCACTTGGGCAGATGGGGGAAGGTTTTGGTGCTTTAATGGATGCAGGTGTCAGGATTTACCTCCAGGAACATGTGCCAGCACCCCAGGAAAAGTCTCCCACCATCCTTCCCTGTGGGGGAGTCCTGATGGGCTGAATTATCACTTAGCTCCAGGCAATCATCTCATAAGGAGCAAGAGGAGCAGGAAATGGATAGACAGAAATGCAGGATGCCTTGTGAGGTCTTGGTGAGCTCCTGCCCTGCCCAGACCCTGGAGTGAGCATAGCCCAACTCTCCCAGCTCCCCCAGCTGCTCCTTTCTGTCCCTGTGCCTCCCACCAGGCACAGCATCCCGGTCCCCTGTCTCTGGTCACACTTGCTCCTGTGGCCTCGCTGCTGCCTGGAGGGGGACAGAGCTGGCTGTCCCCTGTAGGACACGGATGATGAGGCATTGATAGTGAACCCTGAGGTGTGGCAGGCTCTGCTGGCAGCACTGCCGGGAAGCATGAGGGGCAGGAACGTTCAGAATGCTCTGTGCAGTGACTGCCCCACAATGCCTGTCTCTGCCTCCTAACAGCTGCTGGGCCAGTGGCTTCCCCACCCATACACAGGGTTTTTTCTGGAAGTGCTGAAAGGACAAAGCCTTTGCTCTACTAGTCCCTGCAGGCTTAACTCCTTCCTGCCCCTGCAGGCATTGGCAGCACAGTCACTCGGGGGAGGACCAGGCTCCCCATGCCTGCAGCTCCACATGTACTGCATCACTGCAGCCCCTTGCCTTCAAATGCAGAGGCACGGAAGAGTCCTAACTCCAGCTGTGCATTTTGGATGGGACAGAGGCTGAATCTGCCTTGGGACTTTCAGAAAATACTCGCTTTATCTTTATGGCCTTTGGATGCATTTGAGGTCTGAGCCAAGCAGGGCTCAGGACTCAGCTGAACCATAGCAAGGGCCTGGGATGCACCAGGACCAGGAGGAGACCAGGGAAACACCATGGAGATGCCATTGGGGTCAAAAGATGCTCAATACCACATCCTCAAAAAGCCAACAATGCTTGGCTCAGGGTCAGTTGGAAGGGGTCAGGGAGGGCTGCAGCTATCAGTCCCTTTGCAGCAAAGCTATCCCTAGGGCTAGAGTTCTTCCAGGGGAAGAACTAGGTCAGATTTCTGGGTCTGCAAACCCTGCTTCCAACCAGGAGATGAACCTGCTCTGCACATTGGGTTTTGCTGCTGCCCAAGCAATGTGTAGGAACCACCACCTGAATTCAGTCTGAGGGGAAGCACGTCCAGCACCCATGAGGACTAGACACTTTGATGGAAGGTAGAGAGATATTACAGGAATGAACAGAGGAAATGAAGCCTCAGACAGGTACCTCACAGCCAACAGACCCTCAGTGATGAAGGTGTCCTGCGGGGTCAGTGGTGCACAAGAGGCTTTCAGCACTGTCCAGGGGTGGATGAGGAAGGTGCTGAGCCCACCACAGGTTGTGAATCTATTGGGGAGCAGGGGGCTGTGGCTGGGCACGGTGGCCCAGTGGTGCCAGCCCACCTGCAGTGTGGCTCTCCACAAGGCAGCACCATCCTCTAGTGGCCACCGGCACGTGCTGCACCGGGGCCACTGCCGAGCCATCACTGTGCTATTGCCACTGCCAAGCCACAGGGAGCCACCACTGTGCCACTGCCAAACCATCACTGTGCCATTGTCACTGCCAAGCCACTGCTGAGCCACTGCATAGACATCACTGTGCCATTGCCACTGGCTGTGTCCAGCCTAAGCTGGGCTGTTCTCTCCACTCTAACCTACAAATAAGAATGCTGGCAAATGTAAGAAGGGACATCCTGATGGGATCAGTGTCCCTGGTGTGTTTTCCAAGTGCTGGGACTCAGTGCTTCTGTAGTGCAATGTAATGGCAGAAAGCACTGCTCCTGCCTGTGGCATCATCCCCTAGTGCCCTGACAGCACAGGAGTTGCTACACCTGGTGAGGATGCAGCACCAGAAACAGGCTGTGGAACTGGCATCATTGGTGCCAAGACCATGTGGGAGAGATGGTGTGTGGATGGGGTGTGGAAGCCAGTGCTGCACAGGTCATGGTGTACAAAGGCACCCAGCCGTGGCTGAGCACCAAGAAAAGAGAAATCCCTGTGACAAAGATGAGTGCAGCCACTCTCCAGGAGGACAGCAGACCTGACAGCAAACAGAAAGTCATGGTCTCCCACTCCAGCATCCACCACTGACGTACAGAATGGGAGAACCCCAGACGAAGCTATCTTCCACTGTGAACACAACCCCAAAACCAGCCTGAGACCTTGTTCCAGATACAGAGCCAGCCCTAAGCCTAACTCGAGTGTTGGTCCTTAGAATACAGCCTAAGCCTACAGTCGTGGCCCTGGGGATACCAAATCCAGAGCAGGCTCAACACTGGCCCCGAGGCTGTGGCAAGCAGAGCGAAAGCTGTAAGCCTGGGCAAGCAGAGCAGGACCTGCCAGATCTCGCTCTCTCATTCTCAGCTTGAGGCTTTGAAGAAATTTTATACCACATTTAGGCTCAGAGCAATGTCTTCCTTGTGCTCCTCTTTATTTCCTGGTTTCTGGAAACAAACCTGCATAAATGATTCTAGTGGGGCAAAGGGGCTGTGGCAGGGCTGGCAAGCCGGGGGCTGGCAGCTGTTGAAATGGTACCTGGGTGCAGGTGGTTTGGGATGTCAGTCTCAAGGAGTGTGGGAGGAGGAGCCCCACTTGTTTGCAAGGCTATGCTCCCCCCAGCCCTTCATCCCCAGCACAGCTCCACTTAGGGACATCCTGGGAGCCTGTGACACTGCTGGCACTGTAAGGGCAGGGGACACCTTGTATTCCAGGTATTGTAAAACAAGCAGGAGAACTAAGCAGAAATGCAGATGGGTAAAGCTTGTGAAAGAGCAGGAGGGGGAATGGAGAAGGAGTGGATGCAGCGAGCCAGGGATTGACACAGCAGGCGGGTGAGCACAGAGCACGTTATGGGGGCCTAAAGCTTTGCACCATGCACCTACAGGCTTCTGGCTGAGGCTCTGCACCGGCAGTGGGGATGAGGTCAAGCCACCACAGAGGGAAAGAGAGAAAAGGAGAAGCATCAGGGATTAGGGGATGCTCATGCCTAGTACTCACCTAGTGAAGTCATCGTCTCCAATCATGTGCCGAGGAATAGGCGAGTATCGGGACGGAGTCACCTGGGTGGGGATGGGATAGGCAGGCTTGCTCTCAACGCTGCCCAGGTAGCCCAGACTGGAGTTATGGCTTATGTGGTTGTCAGCCAAGGCTGAGAAGGCTGCAGGGGAGGAGAAGGTCATCAGGAGCAGAAATCCACATGCAACGAGGACATGCAGACCAGCCCAGCACTTCTTGCCCCCCAGCACGCTCCGTGCCCAGCCCACTGCGTACGTACTGCTGGCGTAGTCGGGGGGCGCGTACATGTCGTTGAGGTGGATGTTGCCGGGCTTGGCCACTTTCAGGTACACCATGTCAGAGGTGTTCTTCAGGGCAGCCACTGCCTCCTCATGCCGCACGTCCTGCAGGTTTGTGTTATTCACCTGCCAGGGGGAAAGGGCTGGGTGAGATGGATGAGCGGGAGGGCAGGGACCAGTGCAGTCCTGCGGGAGGGGAGCAGTTTTCTGTAGGGTAAGTGCTGCAGTATCTCCAAAGGCAGGTCCCATCTCCTTGGGTTTGGCCCTCCTGCCTACAGCCAGTATTGCTCCTGCCTCTCCCAAGGACCATCCCAGCGGGGACCCCAAGGAAGGGCTGCTGACAGGAGGGGTGTTGGAGCTCAGGATCAACACTGCAGCATGGTGGAGCCTGCCCAGCTTCACCTCACGTCTGGCTGTGGCCACGGGGCTTACCGCAAGCAGCCGGTCCCCGATCTGCAGGCGCCCGTCCTTTTGGGCAGCACCTCCCTCGATGATCTTGGTGATGTAGATGCTGTTGTCGCCAGGGATGTGCTGGTTCCCAATGCCCCCTGCAATGCTGAACCCCAGGCCTGAGGAGGAGTGAGAAGGCAGGTGAGGGACACACAGATGGACAGAATCCCAGGCTGGCACACGGCCCCTCTGCCTCACTGGAATTCTCACCCTGTCCCAAACCCAGCAGGCAATGGGCCACCCTGCAGCTGCCTGGAGCCAGCCCAGCCACCACTCACTGCATTGTGGGTCTTTCCCATACCCTGTGCCCCACAGCATCCCACCTTGCTGGGCCACCCTGCAGCATCCTGCACTGCGGCAGTGCCACCTTGCATCCCACATGCCCCACGATGCTACCCTGCATCTCCTGGAATCTCACACTGAGGGGTCACCCCATACCCTCCTGGGAGGCACCCCAGTCAAGCAAGCAGAGTGAGGGGCTCACCTTTGGGGCCCTTCATCAGGTTAACCTCCATGATGGTCTCTGGCGGGGGCTGCCGGCGCCGCACCACGAGCCGCACCACGGGGCCCGCTTCCTTCAGGGCCTCCACAGCTTTGCTGTGCACAACCTCGGAGACGTCCACGTCGTTCACCCGCAGCACGCAGTCATTCACCCTGGGGGCACAGCGTGGCCCTGAGCTCTCCTGGGGAACCACCAGCCTGTACCACCCTCCTCTGGTTACATCTGCCACCCTCCTCCAGATACACAAAGGAAAGCTGCTCAAGCTGGCCAGATCCTGCCCTGCTGGGGTGAGAGCATGGTCCCTCCCAAAGCAGGAGCCAGTGGGGCTGGTCCTCGTGGTGCAACCCTGGTGGAGGTGGGATATGAGAGGAAAGACTGGATCCTGCCCTGGTCTGTGGCTGGAAGGATGGGAGCAGGAACCTCACACAGGGAGGGAAGGGTGGCTACAGACAGGAGGCTGGTGGCCAGGACCGAGGGGCATCCCTGTACTGAGAGGATCTAGCTGTGGGGAAGAGACATGGGGCAGCCAGGGCCCATGGCAAGGAAGGGGACTAGAGGGTCTGGGCTGAGATCCTGGGTGACACTCAGATGGAGCTGCTCCCCCAGCCCTGTACTCACCCTAGACGGCCATCCATGGCTGCCGCTCCCCCGGGGATGATCTTGGTGATGAAGATACCCGGGTCATCCGGAACATGGGGGTTGTCGATTCCTCCCGCTATGCTGAAGCCGAGCCCGGAGTTACCCTGCGGGAAATCAAACGCCGCGTCTTGCCCCCATGGGCAACCACTCACTGCTGGCCCTCCCGGAATGGTTCCCCTCAGCTGTGGGACTGTCTGGGGCGTGGGAGCCCCGAGAGCATCCGTCCCGCCCCAGGGTGGCTGGCCCAGGGGGCAGAGGGATGCGCGGCTGGAGGAGAGGCCAGCGTTCATCAGCCGAGCGCTCGGCGCAGCGTGGAGCGCTGAACAGATGGAGTGGGAGAGTGGGAGCCGCCGAGGACCTCCCTCACCACCGCGTCTCCACGGAGAGACTCTGAGGCAGGGGGGGAGCTGGGGGAAGAGGAGGTGGTCCTTGGCGGAGAAAACCTCCCCTCGCTGGCTGCTCCCCAGGAGGAGACACCGACGCCGCAGCCGCACAGACCAGCGGGGATTGTGCCAGTCACCAGCATCCCACCCCTGCCTCCCTACACCCCTGGGATGTAGCCCTGGCACAGAGCCAAGCTGGGGGACCAGTGATGCTGGTGCCAAAATTTGCAGGATTGGGTGGAGGTGGCTATCAGGATGGAGTGGGGTCTCCAGCTACGCCTCCTCTTCCTCACACACATGCTTGGAGCATCACTTGAGCTTCTCCTGCTGAAGTATGCCTGGAGGGAATGCAGAGGCCACAGCTCATCTCCAACCCATTCCCGCAACATCTCAGGACTGAGTGGCTGTGGCCTTTTGCTGCCTCTCCCACTTTCAGGATCCTCATTACTGACACACTCACAGGCGTTGCTTCCAGATCCATGCTTGATGCAAGTGGACAATTCCTGCTTTTTTTGCTCTGCCTTGAAAATCAGATGGCTCCTAGTCTTGTTTTCTCATGCGTAAGAGCTGACACTTAGTCACATACTATCATGCCTGCTTCTCATACACAAGTGGGCTCAGGCCAAGCACGCCCCTGGCTGCCCACAGCCTCAGTGCTTGGTGTTAGACGATGGGGTGCTCTGCCCAGGGAGCTGTGGCCAGGAGGGCCACACTGGAGCTCAGGCTCCCTGGGATCACTTAGCACCAACAGCCAGCTGGGGCTTGCACTTCTCCCCAGCAATCTGGTCCCAGCATCAGCTCCTGCAGTGATGCAGAAGCCTCTGCTCTCACAATATGACACTCATGACACGGCACCAGGAGCCACCAATGCCTCTCACTGTGCAACGCTCCTGGATACTTTCCCGCCAGCTGGAATTTGGCTGGCATGTGACAAGGAGGCACTCAACAGTAAAGGGTCTAGGGCTGCTCTCTTTTCTCTAAAATAGATTCTGGTTACCCTGTGTGCAACTCAAAAAAGCTCCCTATTGTCACGGAGACCCAGCCTGGACATAGCAAGGCAGGTGAGACTGCAAAATGATCTCATTTGTTGTGCCTGTCCTTTGTTAGCTACAACACCTGGAAATCATCTGGGAGGTGTTCATTTTTATTTTGATAAACCTCAAAATGCAGTTCAAGGGATTTCTTAGCTGGCATCAGCATTGATGCAGACACAGAGGTAGTTCCTGCTGAGGACACATGTATGGTGGGTAAACCCAAAGCCATGTCCCTGTGCAGATGGTGTTTCCTCAATTATTGCCCCCAAAATGCTGCTGCATTTACCCTTGTATTTACAACAAAGACAAGGATTAATAACAGTCACAGACCAGTTGGGATACAACTCTGGAAGCCAAACTTCCCAGCAAGGGGACAGCCTCACCTGCAGGCACCAGGGTACTTCTCTTGCATTAAGAAAGGGTTGTTGGATCCCACTGGGGAGAAGCTGAAGGGAAAGGACCTGAGTATGGTCCATGCTGACCCTGGCTGCTAATCACTGAAATTTTCTCATGCTGTTGGAGAGGGAATTGCTGCCTGGGGCTTTAAAACGAGGGCATCAATGAGTGTGGGGCATCAATGGGGGCCTCTCTGTGTGGTCCTGCCAGCTCTCCCCATGTTCCCTCAGCCCCGAGGACAGAGGATGCTCTGAAGAATCCCTGAAAACGAGGCTTTTGCCTCTACCTTGGGCCCGGAGCAAGAATTGCTTAGCCCAAAAAGGAAGGATCCCCTGGGCTGGTTTCGTCAGGCATGGTGGGGAAGCGGTGGGTGAGGCGGCAGCCCCAGATAACCTTCCGTCCACCCACCTCCGTGATGCAGAGCCAGGGGAAGGAGGGAGATGACTAAAGGCAGAGAGGAACAGAATAATGAGCGATGCGTCTCCCCCTGCAATGCTGGCCACGCGGCGAGGCTGGCACGGCTCTGAGGAGGAGGCAAGGTGTGCCGTGGAGCTCCGTGGGCAGCCTCCCACCCCAGCCATCCCGTCAGCAGGGCTGTGCCTGTCTCTTGGAGTAAACCTTGGGCCTGCTTTTCCCACTCCCTCTCCTTCCCTCCATCCCACTCATTTCCTGGGCATCAAGGGAAAGCCCTCCCTGCCCTCTGTGGTGTTGGCTTGCCCCTGGATAAACCCCATATGTGGGGGGAGCTGAGTTTAGCAGCGGATGCAGTCACCTCTGTGTTGCCAACAAAGAAAAGGCTTCAGCAGAAACTTCTCCCATTGTGGCTTGTTTTACTAAAAAACCTGTTCTTGCAGCTTAGCATCCCAAGGCTGCGTACCCCAGAGCAGTGGGCAGTCTGGTGGCGGGGTGGCATCCGTCCCCTGTGCCCAGCTGTGGGGTGCACCTACCTGAGTGCCAGCACAAGCAGAGCTCCCTGCACCTCCGTTTTCTGGCAAAGGCAATGACAAAGAGCCTCCTCCACTGCACTGATGGTTTGTGTGGGTGGGGGTGTGAGAGAAGGAGGCAAGGGAGAAGCCCTCCTCCCTGCCTTCTGGAGGGGTCTGCAGGGGGAGAGGGGAGCAGCAAGCCCACCTCTCCCCGTGCTGCAGGGCCAGGCAGGCACAGCAAGTGCGACACCTGCAAAAACCTCCAGAGAGAGCAGGGAGCAGCGACCAACCCCTCCCCATCAGCTGGTGCAGGGATGCCTGGGGGGCTGGCTGTGCTGGTGGGTGGGTGAGTGGGAAGAGGCAGCAAAGACTGCTGGCGGGTGAGTAAAGAGTACTTACCCTTTCCAAGACGATCTCCTCATATTTGAACATCCCATCACTGCCATTCATCTGGAGAGAGGGAGACAGCGTGTTACGACTATGTGCTGGTCCTTGGGGAATTCATTTTTTCCCCTCTGACAGCTGAATATGAAGAATCCAACCAAAAAGCTGCACCATCACCGCTGAAAAAACCTTAAATGCAACTGCTTGAGCCTGCCCTGGAATTAAACCATGTGCTGCTTTTCTTCCTGGGTATGAGCCAAAGCCCACTGACTTTAATGCACTTCAGTGCAAAGCCTTTATTCTCCCAGCTCATTTCTTCAGCTGTGAAAAGGAACTCAACCGAAGGCACAAAAGGAAATAACACCTTTGTTACGCAGCATATAATTAACCTCAGGAATTCACTGCTGGAGGAAAGGAAGAGAGGGGGTCGGTCCATTTAAAAGAAAAAAATGTCTGTACATAATAACATAATAAACACCTTTAGCAGCTTATATTTTTAAAATCTTTTAGTAGCATGATTGTATTAACGGAAAATTCAGAATAATTCATTCTATGAAATTAGTTGGGTGCAAAGGAAACAAGGTGTGAGAGTGGGGCACAGCGAGAGGTGAAAACATCGTGCTGCCCTTGTATACAAAAATGGTGTAGCCTGTCTCAGTGCTGTACACCATACTGATCCCCACGCTTAAAGGTCTCCCATACTCAGAGTGTTAAAGCAGAGCTCTTGGAAACATAATGGATACAAACAAAAGGGATGCAACCGTAGGCTCTAAAATGGTAAATGTACAGTCAAAAAAATCCATTTTTATCATAACCAGCCATACACAGGAAAACGAGGCAGCAGGTTCACTCCACGTCATCAGGATCAGACCATAAACAGCTGCTAACGTCCAAAATTTAACAAGATTTGCAAAGCAATTGGCTATTGCAGCATCCAGAGCTGTTACACTCAACGGCAACAGTTTTCATAGAATATCCTGAGTAGGAAGGGAACCACAAGGGTCACCAAATCTAACTCCTGGCCCTGCACTGAACAGCCCCAAGAATCCCACCATGGGCCTGAGAGTGTTGTCCAAATGCTTCTTGAGCTCTGGCAGCCTTGGAACCGTGACCACTGCCCTGGGGAGCCTGTTCAGTGCCTGACCACCCTTTGGGGAAGAATCTTTTCCTGAGATTCAACCTAAACCTCCTCTGACACAGCCTCAGGCTTGGGTCCTGTCACTGGTCAGCAGAGCACAGAGATCTGTGCTGCCCCTCGTCTTCTCCTCGTAGGAAGCCACAGGTCCCGATGAGGTCTGTCCTTAGTCTCCTCCTCCGGCTGAACAAGCCAGGTGACCTCATCCTTTCCTCATATGGCTTCTCCTCTAGACCCTTCACCACCTTTGTAGCACTCCTCTGGATGCCCTCTAATAGCTTTATATCCTTCTTACATTGTGGTGCCCAAAACTGCCCCCAGCACTCAAGGTGAGGCCGCCCCAGTGCAGAGCAGAGCAGGATAATCCCCTCCCTCACCAGACCAGCGATGCTGGGCCTGAAGCACCCCAGGACATGGTGTTTTTTGGCTGCCAGGGCACGCTGCTGACTCATAGCTTTTTTGGAGGGGACCGAACTCACTCTCATAATTTGAGTCACTCTGGGGAACAGGTGACAGGGCACAGTCAGTTCTGATTGACCAGGCAGAGGTGATGGGACCCCAGACTGAGCAGGCAGGAGTTTTTCTAGCTGGCAATAGTCAGGGGTCCAGGGGAAGGAGCAGTTCTGCAGGCCAGGATCTGGGATGGGGCTGTGCCACCTGTGACATGCTCACCCTCATCCCCTATCCTGGAAGGGCAAAGAAATCCCACACCCTGTTGTGGGTACTGCGCTTCAAGGATGAGGCTGGGGAGAGTCCAGAGCAGAGAGATGGGATGGAGGCTCCAGGGAACACAGGTTGAGAGGGTTGTCCCTTCTTGAATGTGCTCTGTGCCTGGTGCCTCTCAGCCATGGGAAGATTCCAGGGCAGAGTTCAGAGCTGGGACATTCAGATGCCCCAACAACAGAATGCTCAGATCCTTCCAGTACATTGGGGAAGGCTTTGGTCCTCTTAAAGAAGGATCTCGAGGCAGAAAAGCATTGGAAGTGGTGGGATTAAACCAGAGCAGGATCCCTGACAGCCTCAGAGGGACAGGGACACATGGCCAGTGCCACCTTCTGCCACAGTGCTGCCCTGGGCTGTGCTCCTGAGGGCAGAGGGGCATTGCCTCCCTCACCACAAGTTCTCCCTCCTGCATGAGTTGCCTTTCCCTCCTCTCATCCTGCCGTACTGACTAATCCTAAGTGCAGCCGGCTCACTGGCCCGTGCCGCCCTCACAGTCTCTCTCAGCGCAGCCCTCGGGCTCAGCTCATCCCTGCAGTTGGTATCCCGGTGCGTGGGGCGCGCCGTTGCCTCTCTCCAGCTTTCCAGCGACTCAGATTCCTGGCACCCTTTGCTACTACACACATTGTCCTCTCTGCTTTGGCATTCAACACAGTTGCCACACAGCCAGCCATATGCACACCCACGGCCTCGGAGGAACAGTGTACACATCCCTACAGGATGGGGATCTGCAGAAAACTCTGACAATCTGTGAGTCGTGGTGAGAGCCAGCAGCGCGCGAGCTGGCAGGCGCCCGGGGTGCACAGACACCCCAGCACTCAACCCCGTCAGGCACCCCGCTGCCAGACAGGGGCGCTGGGGGCATCCCCAGTCCCCAAACCTCGGGGCTGCCAATGCTGAGCAGTGTTTTGCACTGCTCCCTGACAGCCAGCAGTGCTGGCGCTCGCTCGAAGTGGTGTCTGCTGGGAGCAGCCTGCTGTGGCCAGGCACGCTGGGGTCAGCCAGGCCTGACCACGAAGTTTCAGCTCTGATAGTGTTTCCAAAATCCACTCAACGCAATGCCACTTAATTGTATAAGGAAGCCAAATGAAGAACTTAATATATACCACGTAACCAAGGGAACGAGCCAACAAAGCAAACGTTCCAGCGTCGGAAAATCAAATACCAGTCGCTTGCTGACGGCAAAAACCTCCCCATGACACCCACTGGAGCTGCCATGGCCTGGCTCTGCCACAGGCTGTTCCCCCTGTCTTTTGCCAGTGCCCTGTGCTCCTCCCCAGCTCCTGTTTGGGGCCGACTCAGTGCTATGTGTTCGGTGGGAAGATGCCTGGCTCTATCACCCCCAGGCAGGGAGAGCACACTCCACCCTGCTCTCCTCTCCTCATGTAGCACCTGCAGAGCTGACAGGGGTGTCAGGGGCTGAACAGGTAACCAGTTGTTCCCTGCCTATTCTGATCCTAAGAATCACCTGATTCCCCATGGAAAAGAGTAATGGTATTTTTTTCCAAGCCCTTCCCATGCAACAAGCCCACCTGAGGGCTCGGGAAGAGGCACCTTTGCTGGCCTTCACTTCCCCGTCATGTTTTGAGCAGCAGGGAAACAGTTACCGATGACGGCATTTAGATCATCAACAGAAGGCTGCAGAGTTAACTCTCATTTGATAAACAGAAGAGCACACACCTTCCAGAGCTACTGCAAGCTGTCTGCAGGCTCCGCCGGCCAACACCGCAACAGCGCACGCGGAACACGCTCTGCAATTTGTTAGAGAGTCAGGATTTGGGGGTGGGTTTTCTGGTTCTTTTCTTTTGGCTTTTTTTTTTTTTTTGGGGGGGGGGGGGGTGGTGGCGTTCACTTGTTTTTTAAATAAAAAAGAAGGTCAAATTTAGAAGACTAAGATGGGGTTCCTCAAACACAACCCGAATAGCCCACCAGGCTGCAGGAGAAAATAACCTGCAGGAAGGGTGACACTGCCCACAGCCCCTTTCAGAGCAGGATCTAGCCCATATCCTGTGATTAGGATGCAATGGGGATGGGCAGTGGGACCTGCTGGTGGAGCAGATGTGTATCAACATAATGAAGAGGGTCCAAAGGCTGGAGAGCCAGCCCTTGGTGGTGCCAGGCAGACCTGGGGGTGGAGGGCACCAGGCAATGCCCCACGCCCGCTCCAGAAAGAGGAAAGGGGAGCAGCAGGAGCAATGGGCATGTCCCTGCTGGCGCGGGCACTGACATTGCTGGCGAGGGAGAGCTCTCCCTGCCTGCACATGGCAGGGGGCCCAGGGAAAATAGGTCAAGAGCTCCCTCCCTTCACCTCCCTGCATCCACATGTCCTGCTGCAGCACTGAGACCTACTGACTTGCTTCCAGCTAACCCCTGGCTTCAACCCCTGGTGTGCATTGCCCACAGTGTTGGCCTTGTGCACAAAATATATAAATGCCCTACTTCTGGTCAGCCTTTTGCCAGAGGGCCATGAGGACCAACCTGCTGAGCCTGGGCAGAGGGAAGGGGTTTGCAGTGTGACAGCCCCATCAACAGCTGGGAGGACTGTGCAGCCACACTGTCTGCAGGAACTGGCAGTGGGATGTGCCGCTGCCAGCACTTGGGACCAAAGCATGAGGGTGGCAGTTTAGTTTTGATTTTTTTTCTGTTTTTTTCAGGCTTACAAGCAAGTTTGCCCTGCTCAATGGCCATCTCTGCTGTCTCCCACCCTGCAGAGACCATGACTGGGGACCCCAACAGCAGAGTCAGCACTGCTGACTCCCCACACAAGAAGGCTGCCTCTGTGTTAATTGGTGGCAGAGCCTTGGGCTCCTGTGGTGCTCATGGGCTGGGATCAGGCCTGGGAAACACTTTGCTTCCTCACACCTGGCTTTTAGAAACTGAGGAGGTGATGGCACCTCATTGCTTGGCTCCAAGGACCCAGACTCTGAAACCATCAACTCCTCAAGGGCTTTGGAATGACCTTCCCTGCTCACTTTGGGACTGCCTGGAAGCAAGAAGTTGTTTCAGCTTTAGACAGGCTGCTCTGAAATGCAGAGACCCCATTTGCCACAGGAACTCTGTTTCCGATTCTCCATCTCCCTGCTATGGACCTGCTGGCCAAAATACAGGGTGGAAACTGTGAGCAGTGACCTTGGGGCTGGCGTGGGTGATCTCCCCAGGCACCCATCCTTATCCTTCAAAGGATGCTTTTAATACTGCAGGCATTTTATAATGGTTTATTTGTGCTTTTACACTGTGGGAGTGCTGGGTTTTGTACAAGCCACAGGCAACAGAGCTGAGCCCCAGTCACTCCAGTGCTACGGTGCTGCTGGTGCTCTTGGGAATGGAAGTGGGTGGACAGGGATACTGAAATGCAGAACAGACTTCTTGATAAACAGTCGGGGCCAAATCCAGCCCAGCAGCTAGTCCAATGCAATCAATGGAGCTAGAACAGGAAGGAACTAGACTACATCCATCTGTTTATCATTACAGAAAGCATTGAATAGTTAAGTAATTAAAGACTGGAAGATGTGACTTTAACCCTTTCAAATACACCCTGTACCAACAGGTTTCAGCTTTTGGGTTTGTGAAAAAACACTCTCACTGATTTGGCATTTTGGATTTTGCAGCAAGCTCCTGGTGTGGCTCCTTTGCTGACCTTGTAAACTGCTGAGGTTTTGAGGGGGTGTTTTCTCTGGAGCCTGAGGAATCCAGCACTCCAGAGAAGGAAAAGATGGAGCAGGGCTTGTTTCTCTCCTGGTATAACATGAAGTAGGAGGCAAGAGGGTTTCCAGGCTGGAGACTGAAAGGAATCAAAGTGAGGTGTCTCCCCTGCCCTGGGCACAGGTTCCTCCAGGCACACACCTGGGTACAGGGCTGGTGGTCCCCACTCTGCCCAGAAAATGACAGCCACAATCTGTTGGCCTTTTGGCCCCTGCAGGACAGTCCCTCCTGGCATGTGCTGCTGAGGCTGGATGGATGGGATCAGTGACTGCCATCCCCAGGGTGATGCTGGTGCCTGTCAGGGCTGCAGAGCACCCCCTGAAACACGGCTAAACCCACCCCAGGGGCTGTAGGAAGGGAGCTCCCATCCAGCACAGCAAGAAAGAACTGCAGCAGGAAGAAGGCATGGACAGGGATATGGAGGTGGAGGGAGAGGGAAGGATATGAGTTAATGAGCTGGAGTAGAGGGAGGCAGTCAGGAGGGCAGGAAAGTGGAGTCCACTGCCGTGGAAGGAGGTGTCTGCTGCCCCACAGGTGGGCACCCTGCTGCCGGCTTCTGCAGGGCTTGGGAACCTGCCTGGGGTGACAGAGCCTGTCCTCGGCCCTTGGGCTCACCTGTCACTGCCCTTGGGCACACGGGCAGGGAGGAGGGACTGGTACTTGGGGACAACAAATCTCTTCTGCCATATTCATACAAGGCTGTGGGACCCAGGGCCTCCATGCTGAGAGATGCACCATTGCCTTCCTTCCCATTGCCTGGTGGCTTCAATTCAGGCATAATTAAACCACACAGCCAGGGTTGTAGAGGTCTCAGCCAGGCCTCCCTTCCTTTCTGTAGCCCTGCCCAACCAGCCCAGCACAGTTCTAATGTGTGCTGACCCCATCACAGGCTGTGGGCTGAGGTCTGCAGTTCTCTACAAGGAAGATTCAATCCCCAGAAGTCACCTGCAGCCCTCTACCATGACTCCAAAGACAAACCCACCCCAGCTCTGAGTCCTGGTGCCTCTTCATTAACGTGGAAGGCAGCTGAAGTTTCATGTACCAGAAGAAAACCAGATGCAAAGCACCCAGCCCTGTCAAAGCTGTTAACTGGGCTCCCTTTGGGCAAATGAAAAGGGCAACACCCCACAAGTGTGGAGTCAGTGCTGCTGGCCACCCTCCTGGCCACCCTCCTTCCTCCATCCCCCCAGCACAAATGATTTCCAAATGTTCTGGGAAAGGATGCAACAGTGTGCAAACCCTGCAACAAACTGAGAAAGATTATCTTTACACTATGCCAAGAGTGCCAAATGCACTGTGGCTGCAAACACAGGCACCAAGCACTGCTCAGCTCCTGGCAGCCTTCACTGGGAGAGGAGCAGCATCTGATGGGTGCTGCTGCCCTGAGGACTGGTGAGTGCGATGCCAGAAAGCACCCAGAGAGCCCTGCATCCCTCCTGAGGGGCTGGGGCTGCCTAAGGAGGCTGAGGCAGTGCAGGAAGGTAAGAGATGCCCCAGCAGAGCCTCCCAGCCAACCTGCATGGAAGGTGGAGGAAATGACTGTATGATTAACCCTGAATGCACCCAGCCCAGCAGTTCCTCTGCCAAGGCCTTCTGCCTTGTACCCTCGGTGTTCTTGGAGCCTCCAGCACTGCTTGCTGCCAGCCCTGGTTCTGCAGTGTCACCCAGCGAGGTTTGGGGGTGGGATCTGCTGTGAGGATGTGGTGCAGGTATCAGGCTCCTCTGCCGCCTCACCAGGGCCTCCTTGGGCTGGAAAAGTCTTTCCTGCATTGCTGAGCAGGGAAAATGCACCACTTGATCAAAGGAAGCAAAACGAAACCGGGAGACTTACAGAGAGCCCTTGTTCCAGCGAGTCTGTGTTCACGATAATGGGAGCGGGGTTGGCCTGTGAGGAGACAAAAGTGGGATGTCACCAAGCTGAGCGATGAACCCAGCCCTTCGTGGTGCTCTGCCTCTCCCCTGGCCATGCCAGCACAGGCAATCCAGGCCAGGTAGCAGAGAGGAAGGGCTCTCCTCAGCCCTCCTTCAGGTGCCCAGGAGCCCTGGGGCAGGAGCAGGGTCACAGCATGGCTCTGGGCATTGGTCCCCTCCTCAGGTCTGGTGTGTCCCAAAGACCCCATGGCCTTGGCCGCTGGGAAGGAGACAGTGGAGACTGGAAACTCTCCCAGCTTCGTGCCAGAATCCCACCAGAACCAAAATTTACTTGAAAGTCACACTACCAAGGGGATAGGAAGCAGGAGGAGTAGGGAAAAAAGTCCTTCTGAGAGAGGGATATATCGCCAGCAGGTCAGACCTTCAAGCACCTTCCAACAGCTGCTGCCCCCTTCAAAGCACAGGGACACCATTGTCCTGGGAGAGGTGACAGCATTTGGTCCTTCATTCTCTTTAGTCCTGGGGAAAACCCTCTGCTTGGCAGCCTTGGTTCATCCCCCACAGCACCACACACATCCCCCTCTCTTGCAGGGCTCCCTATGAACCTCTCTCCAGACCCCTCCCCCTGGGCTGCCCTCTGCCCCTCGGCTCGCTGCACATCGCAGAACAAAACGCTCACAGAGGGTAGCTCGGGCAGGAGAGGGCAGGGCGGCAGGGAGGGTCTCCCGGCAGAAAGGAGACTGGGGAAGCTGCAGCGCCGGCGGCCGGAGGGATGGGGGCGGCCAGAGGAGGGACAGGAGGGGACGGCCGGAGATCGGGGACGTGGTGGCCGGAGGAGGGACGGGACGAGATGGCCAAAGTGGCCGGAGGGACAGGACGGGACGGCAGAGATCCGGGACGGGGGCGGCCGGAGGAGGACCAAGGGTGGCCGGAGGGCCGAGACGGGACGGCACGGAGGAGGGCGCGGCTGGAGAGCCCCGGTGGCTGGAGGGGGGGGGGGGGGGGGGGGGGGGTGGGGAGGGAGGGCTAAAGGAGAGACAGAACGGCCGGAGATCAGGGACGAGGGCGGCCGGAGGAGGGACAGGAGTGACCAGAGGGACGGCACGGAGGGGCGATTGTAGGGCCAGGCTGGTGGGTCAGAGGGAGGGGGGTGGCTGGAGGGGGCGGCCGGGCCCCGCTCGCCGCCCGCGGGGTCCCGCCCGCCGGAGCTGTCCAGCGCCGCCGGCTGCTGAAGGCGCGGGGCTCCGCGGAGCCGCAGCCCCTGCCCAGGAGCGAGGGCCGAGGCAGCTGGGGAGGCGTTTGTCTCTTGACAGGGAGCGTGAGGGAGGAGCGGCCAAAAGCGAGAAACTCAAAATCTCCCAAAGCTGACGTTCCTCGCCGGCACGCAACGGAGAGTGGTGGGAAATCTGGAAGCTCAGGCGTGAGTCGGGACTCGCCACATCATCCCAAGGCTCGTGAGGAGAACAACAGCCAGAGTGAGACACGCAAAGAGATACGAGCTACAAGGGGAGGTGAAGTGAACCGTCTGCCTTAGGGCATCAGGAACATCAGAGTCAGAAGCCAGCGAGTCAAGGTGTGGGCTAGTGCAGCAATTAACAGGGCCCACTGTCTGCCCATTAACGGGGGTGTTGGACTGCACAGCCCAAAGGCCTCTGTGAGTCTGGGATATTTTCACAGGAGCTGGCTACCTCCTTATTGCCCTCCTCTGCATTTACCCATCCCCATCCCTGACTGAGACCAGCCTCCTCACATTACCCAGCACAGCAGTCCCTTCTATCTCCTGTTTTAGTTGATCGTATTTCTAGACTATTCACTCTCCTCAATCCGTAGGTGGGAGAGTTAAGGGTCAACCAGACTGTGTTTTAAATCCTGCCCTGAAAGGTTCTGCTCTTATACAGATGGAGCAGGAGGTAGTTAATTTGATTTATTCAGATGCTTTCTGATCTTTCCTGCAGCTGTAACTATTGGTTACAAAATCATAGTTTTTATGGCAATTAAATCTCTAACTCAGCCAAACATGACCACTTCCAAGCACTACTGCCAAACCCCTCCTCCACACATAAGAGAATCACAATTTTCAGGTTCAGTGTCTTGGGATCTCCAAGGCCCAGAAGCAATGTTAAACTGGGAATATCCCCTCTCTGGCAGTATACAGCCCTTGTACTTAATCCAGATAATTTGTGAGATAGAATATATTAAACCTGGCACAGGCTTTTATTAGTCCCAAGTGCAATTCTAGGAAGGGATTCCACATTTTAAGGCAAAAAGCAGCTCTTCTACTGCCAGCAATTAACAAACAGTGGCACATCAAGGTTCGAGCATCCAGAGGCCAGCTCTTATTAGATGAGCTTCCAGGAAGGATGCAGAAGAGGCAGCCTAAATGAATGTAGCCCGTCACGTGCCCCATGATTTATAACAAGAATTCAGCTCCACAAATGAGGCTTTGGATGCCTCCCAGGGAGAAGTGCTGTGTATCATATTGTTACAGAGGCTTTTGCAGGTCCAGCCCAAGTCCTCCACTGAGCCCCACTGCTCTCTTTGTTGAATTAATAATAGCCCAAAAATCACACATCACATTGCCTCGCTCACACAGTGGTGAGCCCTGAGGACATATTTTGTTTAGCCTGCTCCCTGCGCACTGAGCATCCTTCGCAGCCATTCCACACTAGTGATTTTTTACATCTCAAAATACTGCTAGGAGCACAATTTCCCACTCAGGCTCCAGATGGGACCCAGGAGATACCGAATGTGAGTGGCTGCTCTAAAACAAAGTCACACGTGGTCAGGAAGAGCTCAGACCAGGAAATCTCCATTTGCCTCCTGCGGCCGGCTATTCCAGCTACTACAAGAAAGGTACTTGGACATTAGTTCTGACTTCCACTTGCAAACATTCCAACATTTACACCTTGCCAGTTCCACTGAAGAGTCAGACTAGACCTAAGACTAAGAAATAAGCAGAGGACCTGACAATAAAAAGCTTCTGCCTCCCTCTGCCAGGCAGGCAGATGTACCGAGTAGCTCTGCTAGCCAGGGGAGGAGAGAGAGCCTCATAATTTTTTGCTGGGCAGCAGGAACGTGCTGGTGAATTAACCATGCCCTCAGTTCTATAGGGAATGGTAAGTAATTTATGCCCTAAGGAGCAGGGGGCTGCTGCATGCAGCGAGGAGAGGGAACAGGGCTGTGCGTTCAGATCACGTTCAATGGGGGCTGTCAGATCTCTTCCATCTAAACCCCTTCATCACACTATTATTTACCAGGCCCTCTTTGTGCTTGGGGGGTTTACAAATGGAAAGAGAAGAGGACCAAACCCCGCAGTGCTCACTCCATGGCAGCAGGATCACCAAAACCAGCGGAGCTGGAGGTGCCCAGAACTCCCTCCGTCAGACAGAGGCACAAGGGGCTGCACAGATCCTGGGTCTCAGGGGATGGAGGCTGCAGGGACTCAAGGACCTTGGGGAATGAGTGGGGTCACTGCACAGATGCACATGCAGGGCAGAGAGATTGATCTAGGCACAAAGCCAGCGAGGCAGAGGACAGCTGTTGGGAAAATCTGGGCAGCAACAGGAGTCAAGGGGAACAGGGGTGAAGGGGGATGAAGTTTGAAGGTCAGGATTCAAGAGCTTTCTGGTCTCACAGGCGCTGATTTTTT